AAATGCTGCTGGTCCCAGAAATGAAGGCCAAAATGGTCCGGCAAGGTGGTAAAATGGTGTTACTTTGTGAATGTTTTCGCCTCCATTTCTCTCTCTTTCGGCATGAATTGATATCATTTACAGTTAGTTCTTCAGGTTGCGGGGTAGGGAATGACGGGCGGCCGCCATGCTGTTTAATGGTGAGCACGCATATGTATCTTCTGCAGTCTAGACTACACCTCACGATCAATGTTCCGCCGTTGTGCAAGACCTCCAAACGGCGCCATTTCCTGCCGGGAACATGTTTTCCCTTGTGCACGGCTGCTGTGTTGCTATGTTGAAACCATCAACCTTTGGACGTTCTGTTCCTCCACCCCCTCTGTGCGCGTTTCTTCCTTGTTAACTGGCCGGACCATTCCAGGTTGGCACGTGCTTGAGGTTTCTTGTCAGCGAGAACAAGCGCTTAGTTCTGGACCTGCGCCAAGCCGGAGCTGGAGCTGCCTCAGAGGACTCCGCTGCTCTTGACGACGACATCAAGGCAGAGGTGCGACAACTAAACAACGAGCAATTGCTTGCCGTTCTTTTATTTTTTGTCACGGGGAAGTGACCAGGTGTAGTGTTGTCTGCTCGAGGACGCCCTTCAAATCCGTGGGCTTCGTACAGCTCGCACAGGGCGTTGAGAGCTTACCTCTCATTCGGAGGGAGTAGTCGGCTGCACCTGCCCGCATGTTCCAGTGACAGCGGATTTCTCGTAACCGTACAAACAAATACTTTCTCTGTATCATAAGTTAGGGTACCTAAATGCAATAGATTGTCTGGGTGCAACCGTGTTAGTGATGGTAGCATAGTCCGGTTTGTAAGAAAGATATAACAACGAAGAAGCGATGGAAAAAAAATTAAAAAAAACGAACATCTATTTCTGTATCTACTATTGGTCAAAATGTACCCTATTTTGGCCTGTTTTGGGCATATTTTTTGAGAATTCTCGACAAAATTCTCAAATCCACTTTACTACCCTACTCTAGCGATGGAATCGCCCCCCAGCACACCACATCGCAAAAGGGGCACCGAATTATCGGTTGGTAGGCGCTATGCCATGGCGGTAGAAATTGCGATGGGCATTCAGCCGGGGTTGTCAAGGATTCCCAAGGGCGTGCTTGACCCGATCTGCGAACGCTACGGTGTTGGAAAGAAGTACCCGTCCAAGTTGTGGAAACGGGTCAAAACCCAGATCGACAACACCCAGGAGCTGGACCTTTCAAACGAAGCAAAGTGGGCGGCCGTCGCTTCTCACCCCTTCAAAGATTGCGGCGGCATCGAGTCCAAGTGATGATGAGGAAGAATAGTCGACTTTTTCTTTTTTTTCCCCGCCACCAACCAACCCTTCTTTTTGTCCCGCAAGTGTCTTGATTTTAGTGTGACCCCCCAAGTGTCTTGGTTTTAGTGTGTGACCCCCAAGTGTCTTGGTTTTAGGGTGGTTCAATACTATACTGATTTTAGTATAGGGGGCGCGACATGGATCGTTGAGTAGAGGGGGGGGTTGGATGATGGCCCCACTGTTGCTTGCTTTGCCCCGTGTGTCTTGGTTTTAGTGTGGTCCCCCCAAGTGTCTTGTTTTCAGTGTGGGGGCCACTATTATGCTGTTTTTAGTATGGGGGACGCGTCATGGATCGTTGAGTAGAGGGGGGGCTAGGTTTAGGGTCAGGGATAATTCTTGGTATTTTTGCCTTGTTTTTGTCATTGCCCCGCCCCCCCCGCCTGGTCGGAGGGGGCAGAATACATGCAAAATGCGGCCTTTTTCAGGCCGACTGGTTTTTCTCGGGAGCTCATGCACGCGGGGTGGCGCATGCATATAAAATAAAATAAATGTTTCTTGCTCAAAAAACTCCGAAGATTTCAACAAAAAAATCGAAAAACAGATCGGACACGGTTAAGGGCCCGTACAAATTTAGGTACCCTAACTTATGATACAGAGGAAGTATGGATATTTGTACCCGGGAGTTTGCAGCCGGAAGTCGTACTACCGTCATACCGACAGAAGAGTTCCTGTCTAATATAGTAGATGTTTGAGGGTAGATCTTGACTAACAACCAAGCCAAGGCCCCATTTCTCGTAAACACATGTCCAAAGCAACATCACCTCGACCGTCAGGCCCTCAACAACTTTCAACGCCCAAACGACTGCAATGCTGCCTGCGCGAGTGTGGTTGGCCGGACCAGGTCGACGCGGTCCTGCAACTCTCTGACGCCGACTTTGCCCTGGTCTGCGCCGGCGAGTTTGATTGACCCCGGCCAGGGGAAACCTGGTCTAGGTCACGAAGTGCGGCCCGATTATGAAGCTCGTGCGACCGCACGCGCCGCCGCTACCGCCGCGACCGCCCCCTCGACCATTACCCCAAGGGTCCACTATCTCCCCATCGGCTCGCCTTGGGCGTGAGAGCGACGGCGGCGGCGACAGTGGTTGATAAGCGTACTTTGGTGTCGGTGTAGGGCGTGCTGACGTTGGCGTTTGGGCCGGTGGGCTACTATATAGCGTTTCCCTCTCCTCTGGTTCGGCTACGGCTCAACAAGGACGGAGACAAAGGCCAATGTTTATGTCGGGAAGTGGCCTTCATTTTGGTCACTTGCTGCGATGTTGGAGCAGTTTGGGCCCTTGTATTCAAGCTTGTGGTGACAGCGCCGACTTCTGCCGTGACGATCACATCGTCGATGCTCTCGCTGAGAAAACTATGCTCGAAAAGTGCGTGCCATTTTTGCGCTCTCTTTTTGCAGAAAGAAGAGCGTCGACGGCGTTGTTGTTGCATCTGCCTTCATCGTGGGGGCAAAAAGACGAAAATGTAGTCGGGGGGGGGGTCGGGGGTGCATGAAGGGGAATGCGCAGGATATGTTTCCTTGGCTGGTTTGAGTTCTGGACGCGCAACCAGTTTGCCGCAAGGTGGCGCTGTCCCACAGAATTGCGGTACCCCGGCTAGTTGGTTGACCCGCTGGTGCCGTTGGGGGGGCTAGTTCGTCAAGGAGTGCCAGCGAGCCATTCGTTGCGTGCGACCTCAAAGCGGTAGGCTCACACTTGTTCCAGGGTTTTCGTTATGCCTGCCGTAGACGTTGCTGAAGGAGAAAGAGGCTGCCGCTGGGTTCGTTCGTTGGTTGTTTTGCTCGTTGTTATTTTACGCTGGTGATGCGCCGAGACACCAGTCATGATGTACAGATGCGTTGTTTTTCGCCGTTTTTTTTCTGAGGATGGTATGTCGTTCGGTATTGATGAATGTTTGCAACGTGTTGTTGAGTTCGCCGGCCGAACGGGATACAATTCTTTGGCTATAGTTTGGGTTTGGTCGTGTACTTGTATCACTGTACATATTCTGTGCTCGCTCGTTGGCAGGAAGGTCTGGGGTATTGTTTCTTGTGTTGCGGATGCGTAATTTCGACGGTACTTCAGAGTAAGGTCATGGCGTTGGTTTGACCCACAAGGTTCCGACCTCCGAAGTACCACCACTGACGTTTGGCGTCTTGTTTGGGTGGGGATGTTGCTGTTTTATTCTCCGTGTGGTTTGTGTCTTCTTGTTCATTCGCACACGAATGACTCTACCAAGTAGTCGAAGATGAAGACCTGTTTCTCGCGCTTGTGTCTCGGAGTCTCGAAGTGATGTGGATGACGTCTCGTACGTTTCTTCGGGCTTCGCCCTTGCTTTTCGGGTGTGTCGAAAGGGCATGAACTTTGGTTCGGTGGTCAACTCGTGGAAACAAAACCAATAACGTTGGGTCATCGGTCATATTGATCAAATGAAAATTAACAAGGAACGAAAAACATCTGCAGGACAAAAGGAAACAGCAGTCGTTGAGTTGACTGATTTGGTCTTTTGGCATCGTTGGCCTGGCGTAGGAGAACATGTGGCCACGACTTCGCTTTTGTCCAAAAAAGGTCACAAAATTTCCACCACCTCTGAATCTGATTACGTAAGTTACCGCGGCCTCGAAAAGGATCTGGGATGACCCGGTCCCAACGCTCTCGATCACACAACTATGTACTACTAGCCTAGTAATAGAGTCAGTGCCGGGCAGTTAGTGTTGGAGAATAAATATGTCGAGGGCGAAACGAGTTACTGTTGTTTGTCGATCCACAAATGAACGTTCATGGTAGGTCATCGTGCACACCGACGAGTACATCTTGAAGTAGAGGGTGTCGGAAATGCGCAGTTGGCACGAGGCAGCGGCGGCGTGTGTGACACAGCCTCAGTACACGCCGGACGACGTCCATACATAGGTTGTGCGTCTAGCTAGTTCGGACTACCCCGTTGCGTTGTCAGCATCCTTTACCCGACTCTTGATCATCAAGAATGTAGGGCCTAACGCACCCCTGAGTTGAAGCAACTCGTGATGGTACATATCAGTTTTCTTCTCACTAAAGAAATCCTGGTCTAGGATGAAAGCGTCGCGCTGCAAAGCTCGTTGTTAGTAAAACCATAATCAATTTCGTAACTCGCGAGGGAAGGGATTGCTGTAGCCTTCTCGCGTTAAAAATACCTCAGGCAGGAACCGCAGGAGGGGGTCCAGCCCCCCCCTCCTATGTGACCCCGGTTGGGTCGTCTAGCTAGTAGAAGTGGAGGAAAGGGGCCAGAAGGCCTTAGGGCAGACGACAGAGTCCAATGATGGGGAAAAAAAAAAAATATATATATATATATAGACTATATATATCATACTATGCTTCGATTTGTGGGTGTGTCTCAACTAGTGTGTCTTCTTACAATTGTGTTTTGCATGGATGCACGCGGAATTAACGAGGGCATGTGTGCTCTCTCGGCATCCATCAGTGCCGTGAACTAAGAGACCAAGGACAGAACCGCTGCGGTATTGGTGAGACCAAAATTGCTGTGAGGGTTCAACAGCCTGAATTCCGTGTGAAGCGAACTTTAGGGAGACGGCAGAGGCTAGACTAGTCTTGTCTACAATTTTTTTGTCTACATCGCGAAGGACATCTTGATCTCAATCTTGAAAAAATAGTTTCATCGTCTACGTTTTCGAAGGTCAATGTCCTTTGACCTTCAGCTTTGTCCCTGCATCGATGGGTCCATGTAGGTAATCCTTGAACCCTGTTCCTTCTTTCAACATTCCGTGCACTTCTAGGCCCTCCTGAACCTTGGTTTCTTTTCTTAGATTCTGCTCTTCTCTCTCGGCAAAAGCAAAAGAAAGCTTCTCCATGAACCCCCTTAGACCCTCCGATTCCCGCGTATCACCTTCGTCGATTTCGGACCCGTTTAATACGTCGTCTACAGCCTTAACCCACTCCGCGGGTTGTCTACCCCTCTTTTGGTTGGCCCACTCTGCTTCCTAAGCTAGTATCGGCAACCCCTCCTCTCCCACACCGCACATGCGATACTGCCATGTCAGCTTCACTGCGTCTCTTCCGGATAATAGGGATCGGGTCCCCAGGTCTGCCCTGACGGCTGCATTACTTATGCGCTTGGAGCATCCTAGGATGGCTTTCGCTGCTTTCATCTGCGCCGCCTCGAGTTCTTTCACTACCTTCTTGTTCCCTTCCCATGCTTCTCCAGCGTACTCTAGCGGTGGTATGATTACGCTTTTCAAAACCGTCAATTTGATGCGTGTATCGAGGTGCCGGTTTGCGAACATTAAGTGCAGCTTCCCTGCTCGTGCTTTGCCCTTTTCCACTGTCTGTCTTGGACATGTATGTGTGCATTCCACGAGCAGTAGACTATATTGCGATCTCTACTGCGAGGTATGTGTACTGGTTCAATACTGCAGGCTCCTCGACACCCCACTTCCTATGTACTACTAGGTCCTCCCTGTCCTTGTTGGATACCATGACGACACTCTTCTTGACGTTGGCAGACTAGACTACTTATCAGCATATTCCTTCGCCGCGTCAATATGCTGTTGCAGTCCGTCCGGGGTGTCAGACATATCAACAAAATTATCCGCAAATACATCCCCGACACCCAGGTTTCCCCTACCTTTAACCCCTTCCCGACTGTCTCTACGACTTTCACCAAATCGTTGAATACCTGGAACAATGTTGGGGACAGAGTGCAACCTTCTTTGTGGAACCCCCGGTTCCATGTTGAAGGATTTAGACAGTTCGCCGTCTAGCATGGCCGCGCTTTTCGTACACTCTGTCATCTTCTTCAGCACTTTCCACATTTTCCCCCTTGATCCCGTACTTGGACAATTAGGCACAGCCCATNCCGGACCAGGCTCTCACATCACCAAGCACGAAGCGCCGTGAGGTATTCAGCGAATCGCATGAAGGGTGAGCTGCAACCTAATAAGGGTGTTCGGCATCTTGTGCCTACTTCCTTGCGTACGGATGACAGCTGCGTATGGTCCGTTCGGGCAAATATTCACAATCTTGTTTTTCGCGATATCTTTCGAAAAAAAACGATTTGGAAAGTGAAACAACTTTGGGCGTGACCGCGGCGTCGAGCTTCGTCGATATCCGATGAGTTTTTGGTGATTGGGTGAAATGCGACATTTTTTACCAAAATGACCCACGGAGCCCCCACCCCCCCCCACCCCCTCATGACCCCACGGAGCCCCCAAAGTAC